TGCTTTTCTAATTTCGAGATGCGTGCTTCCAATTCAGACATATCTTTTTGCATCTTTGTTAACATGTTAAGGATTTTATCAAGTTTTTTGTTTGTTTCGTCTAATGCAGTATTTTGAGGATTGTGGATGAAATCGTCGATTGTTTGTGGTCCTTTTCCTTTGTTGATGATTGGTTTTAGAGGAGTAGGAATTTGTTGGTTTATCCTCTTTTGGATGGTATTTTTGACGATAAGTGAACGAGATCTAACAGGTTTGAAACGATTATAAAGTCATTGAACAGAAGGTAATTTAGATTTAGGGGGTCTGGTTTCATCAACATCGTCTGTTGATTTTTTTTGTTCTAGAATTATAGGGCATTTCATGACTATGTGGTCAGTTGCGCTACATTTGTGATAGCATTTGGAGTTAGCTGCGCATCATTGTAATTCATTGTTACCAAAAGCGTAATCATTGGTGATGGCTTTCTTTAAGTCCTCGGCCGATTCGAAATAAAGAATAGCGAATGGTCTGGGTTTATAGTTATTCAAATAGGGGATATAGCAAAATTTTGCTTTGACAGCAAGCATAATATCTTAGAGGTCACAGATGGAGATTCCAAAGAGAAGGTTGGTTAATTTAATCCTGTATTCATTCCTTTCTTTGACTTGTTCTGGTGAGAAGCATGCAGGATAAATGTGAATACAATCATTGTAAATATACCTAGACTATGCTGTGTAAAACAATTTGATTACATCTGGATTGTCATAGGTGATATATGCATGTTGCCATAGGTCTCTGGTCTACATACGGATATTTGTGATGGTATCATATTTGGAGAAGATTGAGGTGATTATTTCTTTTTTCAGGCTGAGATGAATGTCAGTAACACACAAAGTTCTGTTTTGGAACTGTATATTATCCTTATGCTCAGTATAATCCACAAATTTATCAATATCCAAATCAGGAAGTTGGGTGGTAAGCGTGCTTGCATGGATTCTGTATTATCAAAGTAAATAACTGCAGAACGCACGAAATTTACACAGCGTACATTCAGCCCTCTGAATGCATCGTCATGCGCAAACACATTGTTGATCACACAGATGATTTGGGGGGTAGGGAGTTCCTTAGTATTTTTGCTAATAGAGGCAGCGCAAGCAAAAGGAGAGGGATGAGGAATGACAATGAAATTAGTGTTTTCAGTTTCCATGTTCATATCATCTTCGATGGGAACAAACTCTTGGGTGTCAAGAACGTTCGGTGGTGGAGTGGACTTTCCAGTGTAAGTATCGTCGACAATATCCTTGTCACTGACCAAGGAAGGGATGGGCTTTTCTCTGAGGCGAGAGGAGCCACTAGCCTCAGGTTGTTTGGCTTTGAGCGAGTCGTAACAACCTTTGTTGGTTTTGTTGATGGAAGATTTTGCTGATTTTCTAACCATTTTGTAAAATTTTCGAATAAAATAAACTCTTTTAATTATATTAAACTGTTTTGTAAAAGTGAGCTAAAGAACTAGCTAACAGAGTTGTAAAGTTTTAAATAAAGTTTTTTTTAAGCGAAACAATTTTATTTTCTCAGTAAATTTTTAGAAATTCGGGGTGAAAGGAGAAAGAGTAGTTTTAGAGTTTATAATTAAAGATTAAATTAATTAAATATAAAGTTTGTGTTAGGTTAGGGTTAGGGTTAGGGTTAGGATTAGGTAGCGGTAATGATTGAATTTAAAGTTGGAGTCAGAGTTTAGGGTTATTTTAAAACATTATCCGAGTATGTAAAACTGTTTAAATACTTTTATCAAAAACAAGGATTTAAAATTAATTTCACGTCACCTCTATTTATCAGTTTCTTAAGTTGCTTCTCGTGATCTGAAAGTCTGAACAGAAACTTCCATTACGGATAACTTTTTCTAATCTAAATTTTAGTCATCATTTATTTGTGCTACAAAAAGATCAATAGATCAATCAAATAGATTATCAATTGATATTAGCTAGATTTTCTTTTGATTTTTCCTGTATGTCGACTTCCTTTTGAAAATGCCTACTGTTTTATCCAAACTTGCCGATTATTTTACATCGCCTTACGCTTCGTCTAAGGTTAATGTTGCACAAATACGAAAGTTAATTGAACATGTTTTAAAAGTATATAAAAACAATAGAACATTACTTGGTAGAACAATATGGTTTGTATCTATCTACCTACTTTACCTTCGAAAAATCGGTAGCTCCAAAAAAAGACCCGCAGGGATACCTACCACAGAGGAAACAGCAAGAAAGAAAAAAAGAGTTGAGGTGGCAATTTTAAAAAATTGATGCTTAATCATGCAAATTTGACTTATTTTTATCTTGCGTACTGATGATAAATTAATATATTTAAGGTGGATACTATATTTTTTGAGAGATTAAAAAAAATACTTAAAATTGTTATTCCCGGGTTAAGGTCAAAAGAATTATGGTTATTGATTGTTCATTCGGGGTTTTTGGGTAGTTAAATCATATATCATTATAGTTTCCGTCTTTTTTGAAGTTAGATACTAATTTATATTATATATATTCAGTCTTCCGGACTATATTGTCAGTTTATGTCGCTGCATTAGATGGAAGGATCGTTAGTGCCTTGGTAAGATACCGTTTGATTTGCCAAATTTAATTATTGATGATAATATGTTTATGAAGCATTCATTATTTTTAGGTGCGAGGTAATGCAAAGGACTTTTTAACGGGTATTGTGTGGTGGATGATTGTTGCAATACCGGCAACATATACAAACAGCATGGTAATCAACGGTTCATCGAAATGAACGAATATTCTTTTGTTTTATTATTATTTTATCATTTTATAGATTTATAATTGATTTTTTTGCTACACACAACGTCAATTCTCTTCAATGTTCGACTAAAAATTAATTTATCAACAACTCTTTCTCAGATTTTAATACTGATTTTGTTGGCCTATCAGAAATCAGACACAAAGCTGATCAAACTTTTCGCAATTCAGCTGACCCAAATTATTCTTCCTACTGGAGTAACAACATTAACACTCATGCCAGTGTTGGCATCCTAATCAAAAAATCTTGGGCAATTTATGTTCAAAAAACATTTTTAAATCATGATAGATTCATCTACGTTGACCTTTACTTAGCTGATAACGTTAAGCTTAGAATCTTTTGTATTTATTTACATGCTTCTACTGAAACGTGAATCAAGAAAGAACAGTTGAAATTACATAAAGAAATTATTACCCACATCAAGGAAGGTCTTAAGTCTGACTTCAGAACTATAATTCTAGGTGATTTTAATGCTAACTTAGATACATATTGGTTACTTATCCGCAAAGGAAAATCGATTCATTGGCAAATGGAATTCTATCAAAAACTTTTTGCCCTGAATTTTATCGATCTCTATGACATATGTTATGATACATCCCAATCAACATACAATTCAGGACTTTACAGTTCTCGAATCGACACTATTTTTGTTTCACATAATTTCACTTCAGAATTTTTATTTTCCTACATTGACACTCCTGACCTCTATTCTTCAGATCATAAAATTGTTTTTGCTTCTTTCTCTGATTTTCGCAAATAGCAATCCGCCAGATCTTGTAACTTACAAAACAAAAGGCAAATCCCTAACCTAAAAGCAATGAATAATGCTAAATAGACTGAATTTGCTGTACACACTAATCTTCACTATCGATATCATAACTTCGATTGATTTAATAATCTCTCTTATAACAAATCCAATATGAACACTTTATGGGTCCAAATTAAGACTGCTATTCTTACAGCAAATCGCAGCTGTATCTCTCAAATTTGGATTTCTCCTCAAGAACATCACAAATATCCCTTCGAACAACTCGACTCTCTCATAAGCACACGCAAAATTGCCTCTTTCTTATTAAAATTCAAAAATACTTTCATTTAACAACAAATCTGGCCAAACGCTATTGAATGGCAAACCATCAAATCAGCTGTAGACAAATTAGTCATAGAGGCCAAACTTCCTACTGTCACTCTTCCCCTTTCGTTAGACGTTTCTAATGTTCGTAATGTCAAAATCAGCTCAAGGATATTCACAAATCACTTTCTGCTCTTGCTAAAATCGATGTCCAACGCATCTAAGAAAAAGCCATCAAAACTTTTATCGACAAAAGATGTGATAACCTTCAAAATGACCCCTCCAAAATGATTGACTTAATTTTAAATAGAAAAAAACGTTCTATTGTGTTAGACCGCCTACTCATCAAGAATCCAAACACCTCTACAAACTATTTCACAATTAATCTAGATGAGATCAAAAGCGCTACTATCAATCATTTCTAAAACTTTGCACTTCCTTCTTCACCTGCTCCACTAATGTCTTCTAGATGAACTGACCAATTTCACCCTAGAGATTATGTTAACGAATCACACTATTCAAACTTAATACAACCATTTACATATGATGAATGGATTGCCGTTCTCAAATCACTTCCTATAATAAAGCTGCTGGTCCTTCAGGAATCTCTAACGAAATGCTTTTTCATTTAGGAGATAAACTTCAAAATTTACTGTGAAAACTCATCTGTATGTGTTTCACCCTAGGCGATGTCCCTAACGAATGAAAAATCGCCCATATTTATCCTATTCCAAAGCCTATGGAATGGGAATGTGACATAACAAAAACCAGACCTATCATATTGTTGAAAACATGTCGAAAAGGCTTTGTCAAAATCATCACTAACAAACTCTTCACAATACTCGCCAAACACAACATATTACGTGGTGGGAATTTTGCTGGTTTACCTGGTAGATCAACTGAATCTTCTATCAAAATTGTCAATATGTTGCTCGAAAACGCTATAGAAAACAAAAAAGAAATTTGGATTTTACTCCAAGATCTCTCTAAAGCCTATGACAGAGTTGACTTAAAGTTTTTTCGTCTAGCCTTCAATCGCATCAAAGTTCTCCAATTGGCTACCGATCTTCTGATCAATCTTTTTACTGCAAGAAAAAATGCTGTTTTTACAGCACAGATTATTACAACTTAAAAATTAGTATCGATCAAGGAAAAGTTATATCACCTTTACTCTGATGCATCTATTTAGATCCTCTTCTTTGTGAAATTGCCTCATTAAATAAAGGATACACTATTAATCACACTTGGACCTCAGATTTGACTAATATGGTCACCAATTCTCTAACTGCTAGTGTCTCTTCACTCGCCTTTATGGATGACACTAATTGGATTGCCAGTTCAAAATAAGATTTGGAATCTATACTTGAAATCGCTGAAGAATTCTATGATCTTACCAGATCAGCACTCAACAAAGATAAATCCAAACTATTAACTACTAAATCTTTAGATAACACAAAAATTCTTCTTAAATTTAGATCATCTACAATCGATATTATACCAGAAACTGGATCTATTTGCTTCCTTGGAGTCTGGATCAACAGTAGCCGCTCTTCAAAATTTGTCAAATAACAACTTACTTTCGATATAAATCATTTTATTTCCTTAATGCGTTACAAACCCTTAACTGATAAACAAATCTCATACATTATTAATATAGTGCTTTGTCTACTATTAGAATATCAAATGTAACTAATACTCTTATCTCAACAAGAATGTATGATGCTCTTTGCACCTGTACATTCATTATTCAAGAAAAAAAACAAATTTGCATCTACTCTCCCAAATGTTCTTTTAAATTTCAAACAATTCTACAATTTGAATGATCTCTGGTCATTACAAATTAAATCTCTCTCTACCACTCTTTTATATCAGTTCACTAACTCTACAACTTACAAACATGTTTCTGTTATAAGACTTTTTCAACTCCAATCTCAACATTTTCTTGCCACTTCTCCCCTTGATTTTTGGTCACGGCCATTTGATAGACTTTTTTATAAAAATCTTATAGGCGTCTCCCTATCACTTATCAAATCCATTTCGTCTAAATTTTCACTTATTGCTTCTCCGTTTCTCACTAACCAAGTCAAAGGAGGATCTTATTCTCTCGCAAAACTTTTTCCTTACAGACTTTACATGTCATTTAAAAAGATCTTGGCTAATCACAACCTAGTTTATTTAGATCAACTAATTTCAGTTTCAGGCTACCAGCTGATCACAAAAGCTGACTTTCTACTTAGAGACTTTAAACATCACTCTAAATACTTTGGATCAC